GATCATCGAGTGTACAGTGTAATTTTTCATTCCCGATTCTTTCTATGATTTGCTAAATATTTTGCCATGTATTTGGATTAGTTTTACCTTTTCTTTTAGGATGACAGGTTTGACATATCACACCACGTCCTTGCTTCCGTTTGGTTAATAACGATAAAATTGCTGTAGCAACGAGGGACGAACCGCTCAAAAGAGATCAACACCGGCAGTTCGGATGGAAGATTCGACCGACAATTTTCGATTGAACGATCTTAAATTATTTGGAGAGACAACGTTTGTAACGGTACAACGGTGATCATGGTGAGCGCGAGCAGCGTCGTGGCACATTTTGTGAAATTGCTGGTGACCGCAGTATGCATGAGACATCTTGCTGAGCCCTACCGGGCAAAAGCCCTGCCGATAACGTGGTCCCTGCGTGCCTTTCGAATTCTCTTCATGCATTCAATCTTGGGAATCTTCAGATTTGGTAAGACAATTGCTTCAAATCTCATTCATTGCATACTCTGTTTACCTCTGTTACTCCTTTTTTAAGGTAAATTCTATTTGTTATTTATTGTTAAAATGTCAACGTGTGAAATCAATTAATTAAAAACTTTCTTTGATTTTATTTTTTTATTTTATTATTTCTTGACTTATTTATTCCAGTTGTCTTCCCTTTTAAGTAATCCTAGAATGATATAATTGATCAAATTATATATTGCTGCATTGTACATGCCATTCTTCTAATTTTAAATTTCCAAAATATTTTTCTTTTAACTCTGTAATATATCTGATTTTTCTCGACAATTTGCTCTTTTCAATCATTATAGTCTTTTCATTTAAGATGCAATCATTTATAGGTATGGACCACCCAAGATTCCATGTCATAACTTTGGGGGGGTTACAACGAGAGTGATTGATACAAAATGACACATGGCCACACACAGTATTTAATTTTTGCGTCTAAATCAGGAATGGGAGAAGATGTTTTCTGCATTTGCCAACATTAAGGATTCATGGTAATTCATGCAAATTATTTGCTATTGTTGGAACACGTGAGGAACTATTATATATTTAATTATAGAATGCATTTGTCTTAAATTTATCTTTTATATTTCTCTTAGTTATCTCAATGAAAAAATAACAGTATATACTTTTTATACTTTTTTGTATTATATTTTTCTTTTATCACTTTTGCTTATAATATTTTTAAAGATAAGTAACTTTAAATGGGATATCAGTACATGTGTGAGTTAGAAGAATTTCAGCAACTTAAAGGTTTTCATTCTCATGCACATTTATAGGAATGTTTTGGCACGCACACATCCACAATGATATTAAATCTTTGTATATTTAATGTGAGGTTTAATAAGCACTATCTACATTTGTTACTGTTGTAATTGTACATCTATGTTACTTTTTACATGTTCCAACAACTTGATAACAATCTAATAATTTATAGTATGGTCATGTGATCAAATCACATTTGTTTATGCATACATTATTTTTCACAACCAATTGCACAGTTATAACATTGAATCTTGTATTATTTTAAAATCTAATTTAAATGTATCACGCGCGTGTATGCGCACGCGTGTATGTGTGTATTTTTTCTTATGTAATTATGTATTATTTTAATATTTCAGGAGTTCCATTTACTTCGTCATCAACACCTACAGCAAGATGCTTCCGAAGTTTTTACGATTGGTTTTCCAATGTCATTGAAATTGTTCCTTTGGCATTGTTGACATCTGGTATTTTAAGTGCATATCAAATAGATGAAAAGATTCGTATGTTGTTATTGTTTCTTGGTACAATACCAGTAGTTTTTACTCTAGCAATAAGGCAGAAGGAAAGCCAAATCAGGAAACTGCGTTTCTTGACTAATATTACTGTTGTACTACAGATATTGGCAATAACGATAGTTGGCTTGAAAAACGGCAATTATAATGTCATTAGTTTAGTCGTTTCTTATACTTTTGAACGTTTCTTCGTGGAAGAATTTTGTTATTCATACAATATACCGTATACCGATCTGATGCAATATTGCATATGCTTTGTGGAAGTCTTCACGGTATCAACACTGAAGGAATTGTAAGAAATAAGACTTAACTTCATTATCTATTACCTATTTCAGGCAACTGTCATTCAAAATTCAATAAACAGTTTGTTTATATTTGATATAAAGAATGTCAATTCTGAAGATAATATAAAAAATTTATGCCATTAGTTATAATATTGATCTTGCAACAATTGTTCGATAATAGATGACACTATAACGGTAGTGTTGATTTTACTATCATATAAATCAATTGTCACAAGTCCGAATAATGTTTGTGCTAAATTTTTATATATGTATATTTTACATGTGTCAGAAAGTACTGCCAATTTTCAAAGCAAAATATAAATTACAATCTTTAATACGCATGAAATCCTGTTTTAAATAAGTTTAATATCTCGAAAATTGCGAAACTGATCCCAAGAGTCAGTTTAAACAAAAGTTGCGTAGTCAAGAGGAGAACAAATAATGGTAAAATTGTTTTGAAAACAAAATTTATTTTTTAAAATTCTAGTTAAGGTAAAAAATTACTCATTTTGCAATATATAATTAATATATTTTTTTAAAGAGCAACTATATATTTTCTTTACATCAAGTGATTTATCTCATTCTGTGCATAATATTAGCTACCAAAAAATTAATAATTTATAAAATACTTAATATTTTATTTTTATGACAAAATAAAATATAAAATATTTCGTAAATTATTGATTTTTTGATAACTTTAATTAATTAAAAAACTAATTTTTATATGCTACATAACTAGAAGACTAATATTTTCATTTAAAAGATGACCTTCATGATGATCTTGAAAAATCGATTTTTTTCGAAAATTGATTCGTTTGTCTTCCTTCAGACTATATAACTTTTGTCTGAAACATTTTTTCCTACTGAGTTAAATTTTCGAAATTTTCGACTATTTAAAATGGGACACTGTATAAATAATATATAAAAATTATATTTTATTTTTATTTATATGTACATACATACTAATAAAATAAAATTTATAATTTTCTTGTAACAACTTGGTACATTTTGTACGATATAATTAAGTCTTAGCAAAAAGGAATACTGAACTTTCTGACATAATTAATATGTTATTAAAAAAAAATAATCCGAAGTATATGCTGGATTTATTGAATGCTTAATGGACATGTTAAAAAGACACGATAAATCGTGCATGGATCAAATTTGTATAGTCAACTTTTGTACTTGTATAAGATTTGCGTACATGGAAAGATAATATTTGATCGCCGGCCTATTTAAATACTACAATTATACAAATAACTATAAGTATTATTCTTTTATAAGTAATAATGACTGATAATGATTTCTGATTTCAATATTTTATAGTATATGAAACCTGTTTGTATCTTGGTTATATAACTTAGACATTTTTCTGTCTAACTAGATTAAAAAAAAAAAAAGAAAATTATTCTAATAACGATGTCATCAAAGTACAATTTTCCAGCAAATGCTTGCTCCAGTTTTAAGACTTTACGTATTATAATTTATGTATCAGGACATTTTGTCTATCATATTTTGATATGTAATTTATGATGATTATTTTTTCCCGTAAGATTTTGCTACGAATTTATCAATGATGTATGTTATCTTTTGAAATATAAAATTTTTCTTACAAACTTTTTCATATCTATTTAATATCATAATTCTCAGAAATTTCTTTGATATAAGAATTCTTTATCGACGTTATAAATAAATTTTATATGTAATTTATGATGATTATTTTTTTCCGCAAGATTTTGTTACTTTACCAGTGTGTATGTACATACGTCATCTTTTAAAATATAAAATTTTTCTTACAAATTTTTTAATATTTATTTAATAGCGTCATGATTCTCAGAAATTTCTTTAATATAACATTTCTTTATCGACATTATAGATATTTTGATATGTAATCTATGAATATATTTTTTCCTGCAAAATTTT